GCTGTAGGGCACAACACAACCAGTGTCCGCTGATCAGAATTTAGAAGCCCGGCTGAACGGTTTTGGGGTCCAGCTGATGACCTGTCTGATTACCAGGACCAGCACCAAGGAGCTCTGGTGCACTAGAAGATATGATCTTCACACATGTAGTAGTTGTGTGATGGCTGTTGAGCTAAGCCACATGGTTGAGAGGAGAGAATTGAGACGAAGGGCAGGATAGGTCTAAACATCCTCTTTTGGTCTAGGAGAGAATGGGAACTAAAAAGCTACATGTGCAGACCAAAAGAGGGTAGGGGAAGAAGGCAAGACCTTTCTTTTTCATCAGATGCAGCACCATCAGTCTGACTCTCTTTGTAGCATGAGAGAAACACCATGTGGCCTGTCCCGATAGCCCCTTTCTGACCATACATTGTCTCTCTGTTCATTGATGAGTTACTACTTGGTCTCTTTCCCACCAGCATACTCTTCATATGGACTTCCTCGAGTTTTAGGCCGTGGAATGGAGAAATCCTTTTGGGGGTCAAGGGTCTGAAAAGAAAATGATCAAGTTCTTAGACTTCAGAGTAGAAGAAGAGAAATGTAATTAGACTAGCAGGGGAGAGATTAAACTAAAGAGCAAGAAATATCTCCTAAGAGTATGATCTATTAGACTATGAAAGAGTCTCCCAGGGAAAATGGCTGGAGGCATTTGGCTTGTTGAGCCATTTGAAACAGGAGAGGACAAAATACTGAAGTAAACAGCAGGGCATGATTCTGTCTTGGGTAGGGCGTGTGCTGCTGAGGTAGTGTGGAAAAGACATGAACTCTGAAGGCAAGCCCAGTTCTCATAGACTCTGGTTCCTAGGTTCTCATGAATGTTCACTGTGGCTTGTCTCTGGGTCCCTAGTAAAGGCTAATGAGTTTTCATTGCAGCATGTTGCTTGCCCAGGTGATATTTACACTACAACTCCTGATAACCATGAATTGAGATTCACCACAATCCCATGCAGACAGGGGCACCCTCTCCCCACACAAACGAATAGCTTCCACTTCACTGAAGCCTCCTCAGGGCCCACCCATCTCTGCCCTTCTCTTCTCATTCTGTTATCCAATGTTCAAGTTGTGTGTGTCTCTATCTCCTTGGTGAGATAGGTGAAGGGAACTACGTACTTACCTTCAACTGAAAATGAGGAGAATATGTGCTATAAGCTAGGTCTCCATTGCCTTCTGAGAAAAAAATGAACAAAAGACACTGGCTTAGTTTCACAAAATTACCATAGAAATACCATCAGAAATTCCTGGGGGCCTAGCACTGTATGGGTAACTGCCTCTTTTTTCACGCTGGTCACCCTCTGTGTCGGGGTGGGCAAAATGTGGCCCACCAGGCCATTCTATCCAGCCCGCAAGGCCCCTAAAAAATTTATAAAATTAATATTTATCTGCCCCTGGCTGCTGTGATGTGGCCCTTGATGGCTTGCCAAAACTCAGTAAGCAGCCCTCCTCCCAAAACAACTGCCCACCTCTGCTCTATGTAAACAGCAAGCAGGAGCCATGTGCATTTCACAAGACACACAAAGTCATACGAACACCCATTTTCTTATCAAGTAAGCAAAGAATCATAAGATCTTTGTAAAAGACAGGAAATGGGTGGTTGGGGATGTTAACTTTCTTCAGTGTCCCTTGACAGTTGTTCTGTCTCTATTCTGGACCTACCAACTTAAGTTCCTTCTACATGCACACATAGCCTTTCACTCTCCCTAGCTCCTCATCACACACATTCTCATTAACATTTGATTTGGTCCTATGTTAGTAGGAATGAGATTTTCATAGAGAACAGGAGCCCTTCCTTCCTTCCCTTTTGATAGGATGATTTTATTTTTCTAAGAAGGTAATAGAAGCGAGATCAGAACTGAAAGAAACAATGCACTAGGTGTGATCTGAATGTCTCTACATGTGCCCAATACTAATAAGGGCTAGTAAGTAGGGCTGTGAGAAGCTTCCGATGATGATTTGATCTGGAGGAGATTCAGTCCGATTCGGTGGCCGAATCTCCCAATCCAAGTCGAATCAGGGGACTAATAAAAAGGTCCAAATCCATTCGAAGCTCTCCAAATCTTCAGAAAAGATTCAGAGAGCTTCGATGATTCGGGCAGTCCCTGCCCCCTGCAGCAGGGAGCTGGACTCAGACTCGGAACTGGTAAGTAGGGGGTGGGGGGAGGGCACCATGGGGGGACCTCTGCCAGGCCCCATCCCCTGTCCACTCCCCCAGCTCCCCCCAACTCCAGCCCACTTTTCCAGCCCCACCATGGCTGCCCCACCCACCCCAGCTCCCGGTGCTTTAAAAAAAAGCCCCCACTTACCAGGTGCTGCTGGGTGGGGGGGGGCAATCCCGGCTGCCCCCCACTGCCCCATGTTGCGTGGGGGGCTCTGCATGAGCCCCCAAACCCTCTCCCACTATTCCAGCCCCCTCCCTCCTATGGCTGCCCTGCCTGCCCCAGCTCCGGCTCTTTAAGGAAAAAAAAAAACCCAACCCCCCCACCAAACTCACTAGCTCCTGCAGTGGCCGTGGGGCTTCAGGGGGCTTGTGGAAGAGCCCCCCATGTGGCGTGGGGCAGCGGGGATCACACCCCGCACTGGGCAAGAACTGGTGATTCTGGGGTTTTGGGTCTGTTTTTTTTCTTTAAGTGCCAGAGCTGCGGTGGGAAGGGCAGCCATGGGGGTGGGGGGACTAGGGCAGTGGTGGAGGGGTTGTGGGGCTCATGGCAGAGCCCCCCATGTAGCGTGGGGCAGTGGGGGACAGCTGGGATTGCCCCCCCATCTGGCAGCACATGGTGAGTCGGGACCTTTTTTATCAAAATGCCAGAAGCTGGTCCAGGTGGGGCAGCTATTGCTGGGGCTGGGAGAGCAGACAAGGGATGGGCCTGGGTGATTCGGAGATTTGGCAGCAGCCAAAGCTCTGAATCAGATTCAGCCGGATCAAGTCAGGACAGTGAGTTGAATCACTGAATTGAATCACTGTCCCCCGAATTGGTCGAATCCGAAGCAAATACTAGCCTACTAGTAAGAGTCAAACAAATATGCCATAAATCCTAATATTTTTATTCTCTTGAATTTCCAGACTTCTCTGTCTATACCAATTTCCCGATGGTGCCAGTTTACTCACTCATTCATTATACATCTTTAGCCTCTTCCTTGTTCTTTATCTTTTCTCATCCTCAGTGTGAGTTATTCTCTTTTTCCTAATTATTCTGGAACTCTTTCCCTTCCTATCTGTAGGTCATTCATCTCTTTCACTTTTTTATCTTAAAACATGCTATCCATATTGGCTCATGATTAGTACACCTTTCTCTCTTTCTCATGATGCATTCTATAACACTGTATACATGGACACTGCTATGATATGAAAGAACACATTTCATCATACCTTGCATGATCTCCTCCTGGCTATAGGCTCGGTTTTCCATTCCAGAACTCTGCTTTATGTGTTTAGGTTGACAGAAATTATTTTCCAGAGGGTAGTCCTCAGGTCTGCTTGGGCTGGTGAGGAAACAGAGTTCAGGCACTATGTACATGATTAGGAAGACCCAGCCATTGGACACCAGAGCGATGCTGAGGGTGGGGTCATCCCACATGTCTTGTATGGTTAAGACTCTCATGAGCATGGTGATCCATACCACCCAGATGGCTATGGAGAACAGGGCAGTGAAAAAAATGTGTGCTCCAGACCTCTTCCAGCCTTTGTGAGGACCACAGAAGGTGAACATTGAGATCAGGAAGGTGAGAGCCAGCAAGAAGAGGACATAGATCAGAAGCATGACAAAGTCAATATTGCGTTGGTCCCGAGACATCTCAGTAAAGTTTAAATAGTTCGTCTTAATGACTATATATTCTATAGCTATGATAATCTGAACTAGAGTGAAGCCAGTGGGAAGAATCAGCAGCACCAAACATGAAATGGGAGTCTTCCCCCTCACCAGCTTCATGAGATTTGAGGAATGAGTCAGGAGACAGGAAAAGCAGAGGGCAAAGAGAACCCCAAAGAGAAAAAAGCGTGTTGGGCCAGTCCTCTCATTTAAATTAATGATGAAGGCAAAGGTAAGGCCAAAGATACCTAAGGTACCTAAGAGGAAAAGGAAATAGACAGGAATCATGTTTCGCTTGCTGTTGTCTTGGGCTTTGCAGATGAGGAAAAGGAGTGAGAACATGAGTATGACTGTGGTAACAACTCCAGCAGCAGCCAGTGACTCCAGGACGATGCCCCAGGCTCGGTTAGTGTCACAGAGGAGATAATAGTCAGAGCCAATGTTGCCACAGCCTGAAGGAGGTGCTGTGCCAGCCATATTGACTAACGGAACAGGCCAAAGCAGAAGTGTCTTCGAAATACCTGTAAAAGAAAGTAAGACAAATGATTAATAGCCATCTTGGTAGGTGTTGTAGGCAGAATGGTTCACTATACCTCTTCTTCTTATAATGAGGCTTTCTCTAAGAACACAGGATCTACTGACCAATCTCAATCTCATTTCTGTCTATGACCAGGTGGCATATCACCTGGACAAGGGGGAAGAGATTGACATCATATATCTGGACTTTAAAAAAGCCTTTGATCTGGTGCCCCATGATTGCCTCATGGAAAAGTTGGCCAACTGCAGCCTCGGCTACATCACAGTCCAATGGCTGAGGAATTGGCTCTGAGATTGGACCCAGAGAGTGGTGTATGACAGAAGTGAATCATCATGGTGCTCTGTGACCAGTGGTGTCCCCCAAGGCTCCATCCTTGGACCTGTACTCTTGAACGTCTTTATTAACTATGTGGACACTGGTGTCAGAAGTGCACTGGCCAATGACACCAAACTTTGGGGTAGAGCATCCACACCCAATGATAGGCTAGTGATCCAGGCTGACC